TACACACGTAATAAGTCATTGGGAAGTCAGTGAATGAACAGTTGAACTCACATACCTTTTCCCCGTTCTGCTCGAGGACTGTGACCCTCTTCTCTTTCTGTAGCTGTAGCAACACCAAGTAGAAGGTCCTCTCATCTGGACAGGAGCCTGCACAGAGGGTGCTCAGCTCCGACAGGGCCACCACAGGGTGAGAGGAGAGAGGGGAGTTCTGATACAGACGATACACCTCCTCAGCCTTTTCCTGCAGGGAAGGCAAAACATACTCACAGGCCCTGACCGCAGCCCACGGAGCCCCCTGAGCCCTGACTTCGTGCTTCCAAACTTCGACCACACCCAGCACGAGCAGGAGCACTGACCCTGTCTTCCCTAACGTGGCAGCTTTGCAAAAGAAAAAGGATTTTTTTTTTAAACCTTGGAAAAAAGTTTGGTGAATACGAATGAAACAAGGTACATGATATATTGAGAGCCAGCTCAGTGCTTGCACTTCCATCTGGGATTTTATGTTTAGGTTTCTCCCCAGCCCATGGTTCCCCAAAGGGAAAATGGGCTGGTGCGGTGGGATAGACCAGCCTGTGTGACCCTGAACCTGTAAATCTCACTGGCCCTCAGCATTCTCCTCACAAACTGAAGAAGGTGGATGAAATGACATCTAAATTCCCTTCCGATCCTGGTCTCTCCACTTTTATGCCAACTGGCAACACTGTAGACGAGAACATTACTGCGTCTATAAAGCATCTCAAGAGAGAAGTATGTGAGAAACAGGTGGGACAGGGTTTTTGTGAGAAGTCTAAGACAAAGGTTCCCGGAAACAATGCCACCATGTTCCTCCTACGTGGAAATCACTCAGTCTTCTGCAAACAAGAAATATTTACCGACGTCTGCACAGCACGCTATGAAAATATAGGAAAGGAATACCCAGGAGGCGAGAGGTTGCTTGGAGACAAACAGTTGTTGAGCAGAATTCTGAAGGGTGAGTAAGTTTCTAGGAGAAGCAGGTGGGAAGGGCATCTCAGGAAGAGGGGCAATTATGAGCAATGGCATAGAGTATGAATCAATATGACGTTTATGGATGCCACGGGAAGGGGAGAGAGTAGAAGTACTTCTGTCTCGTACAAAGTGTAACATCTTCTATGCTGTCCTTCATTCGGCAGATGGTGTGAAGTCACCGAAGGGAAATGACATGGTTAGATTAACAGAGATCGAGCTGACAACGGGGAGAGGACGGACTGTAGCTTAAGCTTAGAGGCACAGAGGCCATTTGTGCAAGAGGGTATGAGGGACTGAACAGGGCAATGGTCACAGGGACAGAGAAGGGATAGATTCAAACAGCATTTAGAAGATAAAGCTGGCAGTCCATGGTAACTGGGTCTGGGTGGAAAGAGAAAGAGGAGTCTAGGATGACTCCTGGGTTCTGGCTTGAGTGATTGGGGGGATGTGATGCTATTAGTTAATAGCAAGATTATAGGAGGAAAAGCATATTTTAAAGGAAAGATAAAACATTCCATTTTGGATATGTTAATTTGGATGCCAGCGGTATATCCAAGAAGATCCATACAGCGGGAATTGGATATATAAATCTGAAGCTCAAGGAGACACCAGGACAGAGACAGAAGGTAATTAAAATCACAAGTGTAAATGACTTACCCAAGGAAATTCAGAGAGAAAAGTAAGCTGAAAAAAGACTAACGTTTAAAAGATAAAGACGCTCACAAACAAGCCCCAGAAACACTGCTCAGGGAGAACTGAGAACCTGCGGTGTAATAACAAAGTCAAGGAAATGGAAAATTTTAAGGAGCGAGTGGTTAACAGTGTCAAAGGCAACAGAAGAGTCTAATAAGATAGAACCTGAAGTTTTCCTTAGATTTGACTGCCCCGTCAGATAATAACCCTTACTATAAAGCTACTGGAGTGAGAACAGGATGGTATCCACCCACAAACAGAATCATCACTGGTATATAACATTAATAAGCTATGTTAAGACAATTGGTTATCTATTTGGAAGAAAATAAGAGTTTTTCCTTACCACATATAGCAAAATAAATACTGAATTATTAAAATTTAAATTAAGAAAATGAAAGTTAATTTGAAGAAATTTTTTGAGAAATCTGATTAACCATGAGGCAGAAGATGCCTTCCTAATCAAGACCAGAAATTCAGTAGCTATAAGGGAAAATCTGAGACATCTGACTGTAGAAATATGAAAACTTCTCTAGGGTAAAAGTTGTAAGTAAAAATGAAAAGCAAACAAGAGACTGAGAAACAATATTTACATCTCTAATACTAAATATATACAATATCTCTATCCCTAACACACAGAAAACTACAAATTAATATAAAAGAGAAACTATCCAATATAAAAACAGAATATAAAGAGGCAATTTATAGAAGAGAATATGTAAATGGACAGTAGATAGGTGAAAAGATGCTCAAATCACAAATAGAAGTATTATTTTTGTTCATCAAATTGGCAAAATTTAAAAGGCTGATGTCATCCAGTGCTGACAAGGATGTGAGGAGACTGGACACTTTACTGTAGTCTTTTTTTTTTTTTATTATTATTATTTATGCCTACAGCACCTGGTTTTCCTACGTAGTCTCCCATTCAAGTACTAACCAGGCCCAACCCTGCTTAGCTTCCGAAATCAGACAGAATCGGGCTTGTTAAGGGTGGCGTGGCCATAGACCATGGACCGTGGCTCCACTAGGGTGAGAATCCAGGACCTTCTGCATGTAAAGCAGATGTGCTAACCGCTACACTATGGAACCATGTCCCACTTTAATGTAGTCTTGACGAAAAGTAATTTGGCAGATTCCGTTAAACATATGCCACTTTTAGAAATCGATTCCACAAAAATAAAGGTAGAAGTACATAGATGTACACATAAAGCTGTCAGAGAAGTAACAGAGTAATTGGAATGGTTTAATTGTCCATCTGTATGGTAACTATTGCATAAATTGTGGGATATCTATAGATTACTATGCAGTTATCCAAAAGAATGAAGTGGATCTATATTGCATAGGGATCTGGAAAATGCTCATGATCTAGTAAAGTGAAAAGACCAATAAAGCAGGTTGCAGACCAATAGATAAAATAAGATTCCATTTCTAGAAAATAATGGAGTGTATGTGTAAGCATATGTATGGACATGTATATTATTTATTCAACAAATATTTATGGACTCTCTACTCTCTGCCTGATGGAAGTAAGGCCATTGGTCAGCTGGAATAGGGAAGGGTTATAGCCACAGAGGAGGAAATTTGAACCTGGTTTGCTGATATAGGGGAGGGCAAAGTTGAAAGCCATGAAGTCCTCAGGAAACCTGGGAAATTCTTGTCAATAAAATATAGAAGGCAAAGCATTTTCTAAACATTAGCTTATCATGAATCCCTACAAATGCAGAAAATAATCAACTGTCAACTCCTAGACAAAGGATCACCCTTGAAATGTAAAAGTCCAACAACTAAAATAATGCTACAAAGTACAGAATAAGGGAGGTCAGGGAAACTCAGTTCATCACCTGTTACCATGTAAAAAGATACATTCTTTTTCTAATGATACATGCAAGTAAAGTAGAAGAGCCTATCATTACACCAGATGACACCAGACCTCTCCCTTCTGAGCACCCACCTTAAGCAGCTCCACAGCCACAAGCACCTCCTCGGCAGGAACCTTATTATCGCCCAGCACGTTGGAAAGAGTCCACTTGAGGGGCTTCAGCAGGCAGACTCCCAACCC